GTTTAGGGTAGTTATTCTGAGTGTGGAATAGTGTTGGTCACTCAGATTGTCCTCTAACCCCAACCTTTCAATATGTGTGTCTTAGCCTGGGGAGAGAGTCTGCAGTGGAGAGAGGAAAAACCAAGTAAGTGATTTCATGAAACCATCATAAGACACCGAGGAAGGCAAGGTAGCCCTGCTCTGTGGCTGGACTTCCAACATGGGCATGGCCTGTGCAGGAAGGCAGGGGCACTGCAGACTCATGTAGATGGCAGGACTACTTCATGAGCACGTGTGAGATGCCCGATGAGGACTCCCAGTGCAGACTGAGATGGAATTTGAGGGTATGGGTTTGGGCAGGGGTCACTGCATTTCCTGATGAGCTGTAGAGAAAGACCCAGAAAAGCACCAATTTGTGACTATTGTGCCTGTATTTTTACCCTCAAATATAATGTGACCTGCGACATCCAATTTATAGATTGTGGTAGGCAGAATAAGGTGCCCCCATCCCCAAAATATGTACATCCTAATCCCTGGAACCTGCGATATATTATGTTACATAGCAACAAGAGGAAATTAAGGTTGTAGATAGAATTCAATTTGCTAGTCGGTTGACCTTAAAATAGGGAGAGTATTCTGAATCATCCAGGTGGGCCCACTGTAATCGTAAGGGTCCTTAAAAGTGGAAGAGGGAGGCAGAAGAGAACCAGAGAGATGACAGCCTGAGAAGGACTGGGCCCGGTGTTTCTGGGTTTGAAGATGGAGGAAGGGTCAATGGGCAGCCTCTAGAAGCTGGAAAAAGCAAAGAAATGAATTCTTCCCTAGAGCCTCCAGAAGGGACACAGCTCTGCTGACACCTCTACTTTAGCCCCCAGTGAGGCTCATTTCAGACTTCTGATCTCCAGAATTGTAAGATAACGAATTTGTATTGTTTAAGCCACTAAATTTATGGTAATTTGTCACATAGCAATAGGAAACTAATACACAGATGGAAAGTTAGATTTGTCATGAGAAGACCTCTTGGAAGTGGCAATTCTTTAGCTGAGATTTTAAAATCAGAGGAAGATAATAGTCAAAGTAAGGGGACTATTTCCAGAAGTGGGAATGGTAAATTGAGGATTAGAGGAAGAGCAGAAGGAGAAAATGAGGCCAAAGGGTTGCATGACTTGCCTAAAGACATTTTAAGGTTTATATTCCTTCAGAAACGTCAGTTGGTAAAAGGTAAGACAGTACATAAAACTGAGGAAGCCAGCACAACTTGTACAGGGCAAGGTCATGGAAGCTCCATAGACACATCCAAACTCCCCGAGGGACCTAATTACTGGGCTGAGGGCTGGTGACCATGGTCTCGGGAAACATCTAGCTCATTTGGCATAACATAGTGTATAAAGAAAATGTTCTGCAGTCGACTTTGGTGAGTACCATATGGGGTCTTAAAAGCCTGTGAGTGGCCATCTAAGATACAGCACTGGTTTCATCCCTTCAGCAGCAAGGGATAATGAAGAAAACTAAAGACATAAGGGAAAGATTAGTCCAAAGGACTAATGGACCACAACTTCCACGGCCTCCACCAGCCTAAGACCAGTACAACTAGATGGTGCCTGGCTACCACCACTGACTGTTCTGACAGGGATCACAATAGAGGGTCCCAGACAGAGCTGGAAAAAAATGTAGAACAAAATTCTAACTCATAAAAAAAGACCAGACTTACTGGCCTGACAGAGACTGGAGAAACCCTGAGAGTATGGCCCCTGGACACCGTTTTAGCTCAGTAGTAAAGTCACTCCTGAGGTTCACCCTTCATCCAAAGATTAGACAGGCCCATAAAACAAAATGAGACTAAAGGGGCACACCAGCCCAGGGGCAAGGACTAGAAGGCAGGAGGGGACAGGAAAGCTGGTAATAGGGAATCCAAGCTTGAGGAGGGACAGTGTTGACATGTGGTGGGGTTGTTAACCAATGTTATAAAACAGTATGTGTACCAACTGTTTAATGAGAAGCTACTTTGTTCTGTGAACCTTCATCTAAAGTATAATAAAAAAATGTCAGTTGGGCCCTTCTATATTAGAGGCTGTTAGCTGGGGACAATGGGCAAAGAGAGGTGAGCAGGGTGGACTTGGTGCCTACCCTCATGGAGCTTACAACCTATGAGGATAGTGGGGTTAGCACTTGGACCCAGGTGCATGAGTCCAAATCCAATGTTCTTTTCAGCATGTGATCTTGCCTTTCAAAAAATAGAAGTTCAGCTCTCACTACTGTTGGCTTTGATATCATTCTCCTAATGTGAGGTACCATGTCCCCAGGGATGAGCCCACCCTGCCCCAGACTTAGTTGCATCTAATTATGATGCAGAAGGACAAAGAGTTCCTGCTTTGGATACAAACTAGATTCCTGCTCAACAACTCCTCCATGTTACAGGAGGCCAGATGCTTTCCCAGTGGGGACAAAAACTCCTCCTTCCCTAGTGGTTAGGATGCTCGGGGACAGTGAATATACAGTGTCTGACACAGAGTCAGCCTTAAATAAATAGGACCTTTAAAAAAGCTTTAGAGTTAATTTTCATGCTTCATGTCTTATACTTCAAATAAAATCCCTTAGAAAAGTCAACAAGCCTCAGACTATGAAAATCAAATAGAAAGTACATATGATGGAAAGATTGCAGTCTGGATAAGAAATGATTCTGCTGCCTCATTGCAGCATTTTAAATGAAACCTTTTAGGGATACCTGCATAGAACTGATGCCAAAGGAAAAATATTTCGATTTTATAGGAAAGAGCTGAAGTCATTACTTTTATGAAGCTTTATAAATGTCATTCAAACACATCATCTTATTTTCATTTGCTACTGAAGCCTTTACTTACGCAAATCATGACAAATGTTAAGGAAATCAGTGTTTCCCCCAGAATGCTAATATAATCACAAAGAGGGGACGAAGAATTACTTCTGAAGGAAAAATCTATATTTCAGCTCTGCAAGTCAGATAAAAATGAAGCTTCCAGAAAACCTCATTAATTAGGGCTCTGCTCATTTAGAAATGGTGTTAAAAAGCAAAGGGACTGGAATGAGTTTCCCTTCCTTATAGAGAGTGCAAATTAATCGCATAAACACCATTCAGGGGAAATGTTATTTCTTGACTAATTGTATAAAACACCAGCTCTCAGGCATCTTATTGTACTTTATAATTATTAATTTTAGTTATCAATTTATTTCTTCACCTTTAATTTAGACATTCATTCATAGATTGAATTTTTTGGTCACATTTTCACTCATGAATTCATTCAATAACCATTAAGAACCTGCTACATGCAAAGTGCTGTGGTAAGCACTGTGGGAGAAAGAAAGATGAATTAGACATGATTTTGTTCCCAAGGAGTTTATAGTTTAAGAGGCATGACAAAACATCTACCTAGGAAAGGCCTAAGAGGGACTGAGATGGCAGACTGATGACACATTTAGTCTCTCTGCTCTTGTCCCTAGCCCCTAAAAATCACAAAAGATAGATATTTTAAAAATTAGTAACTGCACTAGAAAACAGGAGTCCCTTTTGTGGGTAGGACATTTTTTAGTAATGCCTCAAAATGGCAGATGGAGTTAGATGGAAGGAAAAATCCATAGCCAAAAGCACATGTTGCAAAATATGGTAGTTTTCCTGGAGTGAAGAGAAGGATGTCAAGACCAAGATAGACCCCCGGGGTCACTGACAGGGTAGTTGATTGGGGGTAGTGCCATTGGAGCAGCCAAGCAGGCTTTTTCATCCCACTTTCTTCTCATGTGGATGCCTGACATCTGTGGGAGGGTGGGATTGGGGTGGGTTGGGAGTCTGTGGTTGCCAGGCTCAAGAAGCAGAGCACAGACCCCAGTGGCTGACAACCTGCATGGAGTAGAGAGCCCCTACCCCCAGAAGACGGCCACTGGCATGGCAACCATTAGTATAATCCCACCTCACCTTACTTCACTTTCTGCTTCCCCTTTATCACTAGAGGTAGCAACCAATCAGATTCTTTTCCTTAAACATTTGACCAAGGAGACAAAGAGAGTGTAGCTAGTCAGATGCTGTTGGGCGTTGGAGTTGTACAGTTGCACAGACGTTGTGCCATGGCAACCCCCAAATCACATGAAAGCTGAATTTAGGGGAAGCAGAGATGGAAGATGAGAGAGAGAGGGAGATTCTGATGACTTTCCAGTTCTCTTGGGTATCAGATATACTTCCTGGAAGTGGTCTCATAAAACTCTACTCTATAAATTTCCATTTTTTAAAGCTAAAATGAATAGGCTTATCCTCTTTGCTTCTAAAGAATTTCTAATTAATACATAATCTACTTTGATTCCAAAGAACACCGTCATGGTTGTACAGTAAGATAGCTCTGGGGAGTCTTGATGTTTTTCTTTCTTTTTCTCCTTTTAATATCAGTAAAATTATACTCATAAGTGTGTGCCCCCTGGGAATATAAAGAAGAATCAGCCTTGCATCACAAAGGAGATAGGAATAATCTGTGCCTTTGTTTTTGAAGCTCATCCTGACCTGCTCGGTGGGTATTCCTTGACTTTCAGATACACAGTGTATAATATATAAATATGTTCCACATATTGCATAGGACATACTTACACTAAAAAAAATTATTTGTTGTTTATGTGAAATTCAGATTTAACTGGACACATTGTATTTTCATTTGCTAAATCTGGCAACCCTATTCTTGCCTTGAGTCACTACTGGGGCTAACACCTCTCTTTTTGTCCTTCTCACACTGCATACAATTATTTGTTACTAGACCATAAGCTCCTTGAAGGCAAGAATTATGTCTCATTTTCCCCGGAATCTTCTACATCGTAACACAACGCCTGGCCCAGATGTTTTTTAAAACCAAATTGAACTAGCAATTCTTAGGCTTCATTTGCAAAGTCTGGTTGAGTCCAGCAGTCCTGTTTGGCCCTGAGTTAACAAGTTTTCTGTGATTAGAGGGGGCAGTCTCGTAAAGCTTCCAGAATTTACATATCTGTCTAAGAAATAATATGTACAGTACCTTGCAGATGTCACTCCATTGCCCAGGCCCATTCTCGTTGATGGCTCTAACTTTAAACAGATATTCAGTGTTGGGGGTCAAGTTGTGCAGTTCCAGATTCTGCTGCATTATGTCCCGAATTTGTCCACAGAGCTCCGTCTGCACATCATTAGGAGAGGAAGTAATGATTTCATAGAATTCCATCTCAAAAGAGTCCACATCTTCTGTTGGGCATGTCCAGTAAACCTATAGAAGAAATGAACAAATCAGTGTGTTACTAGTACATGCCATTCAGCTTTCCTTCCCATAAAGATTTGCATTGTTGACTATCTGCAAGGGTAGATTTAAGCTGACCTCATCCCGTTTACCCGCTGAGGACTTTGAATTAGTCTGTGTACAATAGTATTGGAAGACTGTGTGATGAGGCCTTACATGATGCTGAAATAAGTGTTAAGACCAAAAGAATGCTTCTCTGGGTTCTGTTACTGTCTGTTAACGGGGAGGTGACCATTACCCTCCTACACCACTAACAAAAGTAGCTACCAGTTTTTGAACACCTATTATGCATTAGATTCTGTGTCAGACATTCCTTTTCCTAACTCATTTAATTTTTACAGCCCCGTGGAATTGTTATTGTGTTGTTGTTAGGTGCCGTCAAGTCAGTTCCGACTCATAGCAACCCTATGAACAACAGAACAAAACACTGCGTGGTCCTGCACCATCCTCAGTCATTGCTATGTTTGAGCCCATTGTTGCAGCCACTATGTCAATCCATCTCCTTGAGGATCTTCCTCTTTTTTGCTAACTCTACCTTACCAAGTGTCTTAGTCATCTAGTGCTGCTATAACGCAAACACCACAAGTGGATGGTTTTAATGAAGAGAAGTTTATTTCCTCACAGTTAAAGTAGGCTAAAAGTCCAAATTCAGGGTTTCAACTCCAGGGGGAAGGCTTTCTCTCTCTCTGCCTTCTCATCAGTGTTCCCCCAGACTAGGAGCTTCTCCGCGCAGGGACCCAGGTCCAAAGGAAGCGCTCTGCTCCTAGCACTGCTTTCTTGATGGTTTGAGGTCCCCCATGTCTCTGCTCACTTCTGTCTTTTATATCTCAAGAGATTGCCTCAGGACACAATCCAGTCTTGTAGATCAGGTCCTGCCTTACTAACACAATTGCCACTCATCCTCCCTCTTTAACATCGTAGAGGCAGGTTTACAACATACAGAAAAATCACACGGTACCAGGAATCATGGCCTAGCCAAACTGGTACACACATTTTTTGGGGGACATAATGCAAACCATGACACCAAGCATGATGTCTTTCTCCAGGGATCAGTCCCTCCTGATAACATGTCTAAAGTATGTGAGATGAAGTCTCACCATCCTTGCTTCCAAGGAGCACTCTGGCTGTAATTCTTCCAAGATGGACTTGTTGTTCTTCTGGCAGTATATTCGATATTATTGCATATACTCGTATCTTGAATATTGAATATACTGGTATATTCAGTATTCTTTGCCAACACCATAACCCAAAGACATCAATTCTTCAGTCCTCCTTATTCGTTATCCAGCTTTCACATGCATATGAGGTGATTGAAAATATCATGGCTTGGGTCAGGTGCATCTTAGTTCTCAAAGTGACATCTTTGTTTTTCAACACTTTAAAGAGGTCTTTTGCAGGAGATTTGCCCAATGCAATACGTGATTTGATTTCTTGATTGCTGCTGCCATGAGTATTGATTGTGGATCCAAGTGAAATGAAATCCTTGACAACTTCAGTCACTTCTCTGTTTATCATAATGTTGCTTATTGGTCCAGTTATGAGGATTTTTGTTTTATTTATGCTGAGGTGTAATTCATACTGAAGGCTGTGGTCTTTGATCTTCATCAGTAAGTGCTTCAAGTCCTCTTCACTTTCAGCAAGCAAGGTTGTGTCATC